AGTCTCAAAGCTCTGCCCAGTGTTTCATGGAGCTGTCAGAACAGCAATGAAACAGACAGCAGACTCTGGAACGAAAACTGTTCTGGACTGTGTTGACCTTGGATGGAGCACCCTACGTCTGTGAAACCTCAGTTTCTCCACCTATATAGTGTGACAACAAGAGCGTGCACCTCACAGGGTTGCTGTGAGGCTTAGATGAGAGGCTTAGATGAGATCCTGCATGCAAAAAGGCACAAGCCCCCTTGATGACGGTTAGGTATGGTGATGAGGAAGAGGACCAGAAGGAGGAACAAGCAAACAGCTCAGCACCCTCAACTGCATCTAAACTTGTGAATCTTTCATATCAGTAAGACACGAGTCTTACAGGCAATGGCATTGTGATTAAAGAGAGATGTGGCTCTGCTACCCCAGGAAAGTCCTTCCTTCCATGGGAGGAAATGTCAGTGTCTCATGGCAGCAAGGATGCTTCTGCCAGAAGGCAGGCACTCTAGGGTGCATGGGATGCAGGAAAGGGTGAGAAGGAACGACAGAAATGGTCACCTGTGTGCTTGGTGCCAATATGAGTCTTTATTTCTGATTCCTCCATGGTGACAAAGTCGCAGGCAGTGCAGCAGATCGAAAACATCCACTGCTCCTTGTCCACGTGCAGTGACATGTGGCTGACAAACTGGACATTGAGCTCGGTCTCAAATCCACACACATGACAACTATATGAAAGGGTAAAAGAAAAGAGGGGGAGGGAAGAGAGTGATACAACTTCTAAATGTAGGCTACCTACTTATATTTAGAACACTCAAGAAAACTGGAATTTAACACACATTTTTCTCTCTACCAAGAAGATTTTTGCATTGGAAAATTCTTCTGCTTTCTGGGATGCCTGGTCACTGTGCCAAACAGACTAAGTGCCAGCATAATGTAACAATCCCATACATGCTATAATGATGCTAAATAAACATAAAGTTAATTAAAAACTACAGATTCCAGATGCTGCACATCACCTAACTGATTCTTTTGGGTAAAGACATATGGGGCAGCATTGCCAAGGTATTCAGCCATGCTGGTCCACTGATAAACTCGGAGAGCCCCTCATACCCTTGAGCCTCTCTCAGACTCCAGAAACCTTCCCCGGTAGTAATAAAAACACATACTCGTACAGGTTGTCATATGACACAAGAGACAGCCCTATCTGTCACGATTGCTGATAGAAGCCACCCATCCATGCAGGCGTTTTGTGCAAAAGCAAATTTTCACCAATCTGAATGGCCTATCTCCAGGGCAAGATTTGACTGAGAGTCTGAAACTTGGGGTTTGATAGCGAATGAACTGAATATTGATTCATGGTTAAATATGGAAGCAAAACATAAAATCCAAACTAAAACTAAAGGGCAACACAGCCAAAGGAAAATACGTAATGCCTTCTTGGTTATCTCCTCACCATTCTCAGATTTTTTTCCCTCATCTTTTTTCCTACAATTCTTAGGACGTGGCAAGGTGCTCAGTTACAAAGATGGGAGCTTCTGAGCTGCACAGACCTAAAAGCTAATCATCCCCGGAGTACTGTTACGCTCTGGAGCTCCACCCCAGAGAGCCACTTCCAAGACCACTTCTCTTTCAATTAATTCTACTAGGGCCACCTAAGCCACGAGAGGAGTCCATGCAACTGCAGGGTTCAATCTATGCAAAGAAAATATTAAAATGAACGTCAGCTGTACACCCCCCACAGACAGGCAGGGAGGGATGAAGCAAGAGTCTGAGAAGCCTGACTAGCATGTGCCATCTGCAACTCACCTGTAATAATAAGGGTGTTTCTTCCCATCACTACCTTCAGCGGTGACGGCGCTGACAATGTCCTCAGTGTCTGTACTCACCAGCTTCACAGAATGGACGGTCAAGTGCTGGTTCAGGTTTGCACGGCACTTAGCAGCATAGGGGCACAAGTGGCATTTGTATTTTCTTTCCTCTGAGGGAGGGGGGAGAAACAGGAAAAACCCAAACTGCTCTGAAAAAGTGAAATCCCAACACCTTGCAAGAGGTCACTTAACGGTATCAAAGAAAGGATGGTTCAAGTCTCACTTCCAAAGGTAAGGACTTGGAATTCTAAGTATCTAAAAGTTTTTACCCAGAAGGTGATTCCTGTATTAATTACTTTCAAAGACAAAAGAAAGCCTCAGGGCACTAGGTAATCTGCTTCTTCCTGGATATCCACAGCCCCTCTTCCTGATAAGATAAGACCCCCTGGGGGGGG